CACTTATTCATCCAGTCATCATATTTTTTCGAGATTTTAGATCACTATTTGTACCAAATCGTTCGGTTTCGCTGATACATTCTATCTCTAACAAATGCTTTAATGAATATTTGAAACACTGAATAGTTGCAAAAAACAAAGTCTTTGGTTTGCCTGTATCTTCATCTTGCTTCGTACGAAATATTTTTCAACGATTTTCTACGTTTTTTATCTCTCTCTCTCTCTTTCTCTTTTTCTCGCCTGGTCACATGTGATTAATATTTTTCGACAGAAACAACGCGTGTTTTTCACTTATTTTATCTTTTTAAATCATATATCGGGGTATCCACGAGCAATGACGACAGCATTTTATTTCGACGCATTAGATTTGATACAAAAATCTTTTTAGACAGCATGGTAGAGCGAAAAAAAATGCACTCCTCTTTCTCTGTGGGAGTGAAGGTGAAGAATTGGTAGATACTTAAGTTTTGATTTAGAACAAATTTCTTTACTAAAGGGTTTCCCTCAACTCCATCCACAATGATTAATCACAATATAGTGCAAAACTGTTTTATTTCAAAATAAATAAAAGTACGAAGAAATTAGATATTGATTTCAAAGAGTAGAAGGTAAATATTAAGAATTTGAAAAAGGGCAAATAAATAAAAGAAATATTTATATCGGTACAATACGAAATCGTTGTCGAACACGATGAAATAATTTAACACGAAAAGGAACAATAAAACGCATAACAAGAGATAAACCAGCAAAAGTACTTAAAAATCTTGTTAATAATTCTAATGCATCAAATCGATAATACGATTTATAAATACAGTGTGTTGGAGAACAAATTTCATAATACTTTTCATAAGGTGCATTACTTATCCATGATTCAATAAACATTTCATAAATTAAAGTTTCGATTGTATCATTGATCTGAAATCGTGAGTGTTTGCAAGGAGAGATGGCAAAATCGTCATAAATCTCCCACACGACAGTTAAGGAGAAAAACTAGAGCATTCACCTTTGATCATTTACTATTTCTTTACTTAATTCGCCTCCGTACGCATCATCCTATGAGTTATTCCGTTATGTCGTCACCTTATTATCTTGTCAATTTATATGTTATCCCATTACTTCGTTACCTTGCCATTTGCAAACTCTTATCCACGTTTTAAACAAATATGAGGATGAATCGTCTGATTGACCAGTTACGCCATCTTATCTTTTTATGGGATTCTGTTGTCTTCTAAAAAAATCTGATCATTATATAGAGTTATCCAAAAATTGTTTGAATCCTTAGTTCTCCTTTTGAAAAAGACGATGTATTAGTCCCATAGATTTATAACAATGTTCAATCTTCTAGAGAGTGGTTGTAAATCATCTTCTAGACAACACTCACATTCCTATCCTAGAAAATTAAACCTAACGTTGCTTTCAATTTTACTATGGATCAAGACGCGTTATAACAAAACCTAGAATGATCTTCAAAAACTCATACCTATCCTCATTTTTCAAAAAGATGCTGACATAGTAGTAGATGTTTGTCATTATATGGAACAATAAAGTATATCATGTATAGAAATAAAGAAAGTAAACACGTGCTGCTGGTATTGTCGGTGGAGTCATAGAGAGAAAGAATTCATTGTTATCTTATCTCAAATTTATATGTGCATATAATAAGCAAAACGGTTAAAAGAAACAGGTAATAGATAATAATTATACACTTTTGAATACTTAAGCGCTTATTAAATATTTATATTTATATATTTGTGTTTCGTGTATTCTTCTTAACTGTATGTATCGAAAGAAGCTTCAGTCTTATATTCTAGATCAACAAATTGTTACTTACACAGGAATTAATTTCGAAGATCTTGCCAACAGCAAAATAGTTTCAAAGTGCTTACGAAACTGGTATATTCTTTATAGTAGAGCATTCTATTAAAAAGGGCGATTAAACATGAAGCCATTATGAAGAATAGGACGAATAAAAAGAAGACTGTGTTCTAACAAAAAATATTAGTATCGTATTGACAATATATAGAAGTATTCTTTATCTAATTTCTCGACTGTCACAGCGAATTTTACTCGTATAGTAACGTTCTTTATAGCTTTACGACAATAGCAATAATGATTTTCACGAAAAAATAGTCGATTCAATATCATGAAAAACCAGATAGTAATGCTGAAGTTAATAATAGTAGTTAAAAATAAACAACATTATTTGGTAAACATAGTGGCATGATCCAGACCCGTAGCCAGGACCTTTCCAAAGACACTGAACTTAATTATATATATATATATATGGAAAGAGTCACCCTTTTCTTGTTGTGTCATATAGGTACGAAAAAACATTTATAGATTGACACAATAGATCCTTTTAAAAAAAAATATACCATCGATTAGTAACACATAAGAAGGTTCATTAATTGATCCGAAACTTATTATTGATCCCCAAAGTTACTCATTAAGAACGTAACTGCGCACGCACAGCACATACGTATTTAACATATGACACTTTTGACGTATCAATCGATTCATATTTTCGCTTTTGTATTTTAGAAGTGTAAACAATATTTTATTTACAAACATAATGTTGTCTTTTGCAAGCTATGCGGAAAAATTGCGCGCAAAACGATCCAGAAAAAAGTTAGACGGTTTAATGGTTCATACAACGCCTTCTACAAATGAAGCTTTACCAGTATCGTCTTCGTTTTGTCGTAATGTATCTTCGTCACAGATTGAACTTGTCTACAACAGTATTTCTAATACAGAAAAAATTGATTTACAACATCGTCAGTTCTTTTTTGACCGTGAACAAATTAATCTTGAGTCGCATCAATTAGTATGGTTAGGTCCTTTGATAACGTTGTCAGTTAAGACCGTTCGAAAAGTTATCGATTATACGAAAGTCTTCGATAATGTGAAAGAATGTTTAACATACATTGAAAAGAACAAAATATCAACAACAATCTTTTTAGTTATAGCATCCAGTGAGCTAGGTAAACTTCTCATTCCACAAATTACTGATTTTAACAATATTTGGTCTATTATTATTTATGAGGTTGACACGAGTCATTCCGAATGGATCTCAAATTATCCAAAGGTATGTTGTATTTGCTATCATTTTTACACAACTCTGTAAAGAGTGTGAATATAAATATCAGTGTACAGCTATGGGATAAGTGTCCATACGCACTCTCTTTCACGTAATTGAACTAGACAATTTTTGTGTTCATTAAGATTAAAAGTATTTCTGCAGATCCAAATCAATTATTGTGTGAATTGAAAGCAGACGTTTTAAAATATAAAAAATATGAAAATAATGGAATGTTTAATCCATTCGAAAGAGAAGAAGATAACTCAATGGATGATGCTAATGAATCATGGTGGATAACTTATACGGATGTTTTAATTTATTTATTATATCCAAATGGATTTTATCATAAACTCATTGATTCATTAAGAAACTATTACAATGGTAATGATCCAAAATTAAAAGTTCTTGATAAATTTGAGAAAGAATATAAGTCAGATAAAGCTGTCTGGTGGTACACAAGCGGCACATTTATTTTTACTCTTTTCAATCGCGCTCTTCGTCAGCATAATATTGAATTGATATTTCTCTTTGGTTTCTTTATACAAGATTTGTATAAGCAATTACAAACAGAATATGAAACATTCAAGTCAATCCATTTAACAGAATCAAGAATGAAAGTCTATCGCGGACAGATAATGTCACGCAAGGAAATTAATGAACTCGATAGTAATTTTATCATTGTCAATAATAGTTTACTTTCCACTTCTTCAGATCGTGAACCGGCTCTTCTATTTCTTCCAGAATCTGATCAGATTGAAGACAGCAGTTATGTACGTGTTCTATTTGAACTTGAAATTAATATTCAACGACAATCACGCCCTTATGCCGATATTATACATTTGAGTCAATTTCCCCACGAATCAGAGATTTTATTTATGACTGGAACACCATTTAGAATAATAGAACAAAATGGTGTCACTTATGATGAAAACGAAAAATTATGGACTGTAAAATTAGAATTAACACGTGATGAGTACTTGGTAGATAACAGAATCTTTGAAAGTTTGACATGCAGTAGCCATCGATTAAAAAAGTCTTTAACTACCTTATCTGATAGTTTGCAATTCGCATCGATCGAAAATATAAACTTAATTTTCGACAACTTTTGTGATTTACATTCACAAGAAGAAAAATGGATTAATGCACTTCGATTTCATTGTATCGGTCGATATCAATTTTGGCCTGCAAACAATTTGACAGAAGCATTATCTTATTATCATAAAGCATTACAAATTTGGAACAATGATTCAAGCTATTGTTCAATTAACATTGGGCAAATTTATTATGACATTGCTCTCTGTTACATACAGGATGCAATTAGAAATTCAAGTAAATCTACAAAATATTTTAATTTGTCTATAGAATCTTATATTAAAGCATTGGAAGAAGCACCAGCAGAACTTGAACAAATTGATATTTATGAAAGATTGTCTGAGCTCTACATGAATACTGATGAAAATGTCAAATCAATACAATACAAAGAAAGACAAGTCCAATTCACATTGAAATATTATTCATCAATTGACGAGGAGAAATGTGCTATTAGTCTCAATTCCTTAGGTTTTCTATACAAAAAAATCGCAGAATACGATAATGCTTTGATTAATTATGAAAAAGCTTTAACAATTCTTTTAAAGTCAGTCATCGGTCATAATTCATGGTGGATTATTCGTATCTG